AAATAAGTAAACACCTGTAAGTTGACAGAAATGTTGCACTGAGTGTAATGCTTGTGCATCGTCGCGAGAGATGACAATTAATATATACACTTAATCGTGTAGCGTCCTACGTGGCTATACATACATTAGTAGAAGTGCTACACTTAAACATTAATACTAGAAACGACACACTGAAGATGATACTTGTGGATAAATATGAAAGATGACAATTAATAAAAATACATGAACATAAATTATCCTACATGGCTATGTATACATTATTAGAAATGAAACCTTTAACACCTATACATTAATAAAACTGATACACTGAATTGTGTATTAATGAGAAAAATGACAATTAATGGTTATACATACTCGTGTGTTATCCTACATGGCAATATAGACATTAGTAGAAATGATACGCTTAAACACTGATACATTACTGCAGAAGATGCACTGAAAATGGTACTTGTACAGTAAAACGATATATAACGATTAGTGATAACACAAAATCCTGTGTTATTCTACATGGCTTTACATACATAGACAGGGATGGTACACTTAAACGAATGATGTAGGCGCGTTGGGTACATAAGTGTGTTGATAGATAGTTAATAACTTAAGTAATGGTATGCAACAATTATTGATGATGCACTGGTGATTAATGAAATAATGAATGACAATTAATGACATAGGTAAGAATGAGTGACAATTAATGAAGGCACGATACATAAGCACATTGCCATAGGTACATTGGATATAAAGGTTGGTTATGTGGAAAGGATAGAGTTGTGGTTAAGCCGAATCACACAAGTCCTGGCCTAATGCTTGCAGTCTGTCCATAATACTTTTGAGTTTTTTAAGTACTACTGGTTGGCGAATAAAGAATCTTTTATAGGCTGGATCTGTGTTGTAAAACGGCATGTGCCACTCTCGTGTTAGTGGGCAGGAAGTGACATAATGGTCCGCGCTACCTGGCTGTTCACACACACAGATTTTGGTGTTTGTTATTCTTCGTTCTAGAAAATATTCCGGGAATGGACCATGACCCTTTATAAATCTGGTGATGTGTGGCTGAGATATCTGTTTGTAAGGCTGACGTTGTGAGCGAATTCATAGGTCCTTCTTCCTTGCGGAATAGAATTCCACTCTTCCTGCCATTGCTTGAGTGCGGCGTTTAGAACAGCCTTCTTTACATAGGAATTTTGGTAACTATTATTGCCAGTTGTTCCGCATCGAGATTGCTCGCCGGCTTCTTTGGCTAGTAAATCTGCCTCCTCATTCCCCTGGTGTCCAAGCGTGTGCTTTAATCCAGAAGATGAGGATGCGTCCTTCGTACTGGTGCAGAGTTTGCTGAATGCGCCCTATGATGGGCGACCTGTGAAAAGGATTCCGAATTGCATAAATTGCTGACAGGCTGTCGGTGTGTATTTGTGCGATGGAGTAGCTAAATTGACTCGCTGCTAGGATTGCTTGGCGTATGGCTTCGGCTTCCGCCTGGAAGACTGAGTTGCCTGCGCCCAGAAAGCCTTTTCAAGACCTTAAGGTGCTTCCATTTCGTTTGATGGTATAGCTACAGCCTGTCGTTCCATTCACCTGGGAGCCATCTGTATAAATCTTAAGGGCATTAGAGTGATCGTTGTTGTCTTCAAGCATCGTTGTATAAGCATGGACATTCTTGCAGAAAAGGGCCGGGTGTACTTCCGCAACTTGAAGATTGCTCTCAAAGTCCTCCGGTGAGAAATGGAGGTTCTGGTATTGGGCAGGTTGCTTAAGGAGAGTGACTTTTGCGATGACTGCTTCCATTTTGGACCGTATGTGCAGTGGAATAAGTCCAGTCGCGTCGGTACACATTGCCGCCATGAGGGTGTAGAATTTCGTCGCGATATCGGATATCTGTGACGGAGCTACCAAGAATCACGTAGAGGTCGGTGCGGTCGTTCGTTGTTATCCCATCCATATAAGTAACCCTCCTTCGTGATAATGTTCTCTTTCGACCATGTATAATGCCCGATAGCACGTACCCAGCTCTTGCCGTATCACTAACCTTCAGGAATTGCTCTTTTAAATCGAGATTCATCCGTAAACACTATGTGGCCACTAGTGCTCTGGTGTCTAAATGCAATGTTCATAGGTCCAATTCAACCACACTCTGACATGCGATGGGTACAAAGAAACACATACCAGAGGTCAACAGGTGTACAGTCCACCTTGCAGCAGCAGACATATGCGACGCCAGCTGTCATGCTCTTATTGATATACAGAGTCATGCCCATAGCAATAGGAAGTGATCGTCTGGCACTATGGTAATTCTCCAGTATCCAGACCCACGTCTTCTACAAAGGTTATGATCTCCTTTGGTAGCGATTCCCACAGCCTACTAAAGATACTATGATGCACATTCAGCTCCCTCGCAACAGCGGATTGTCTTGCATCAATTTGCAACATCCCGACAAGCCTTCAACGCATTTCATCATATAAATAGTGTCTTTGGCTCATACTTATAGCTTTTGCTATCTCATATTACACGGAGATATCGCTCATTGCGAACTAATGCTTATGTCCCGCATGCCCCTTTCTAGGTGTGTTGGTGCGACTACGGGATTGCGTTTTATGCTAATTTTGGTTGCCTATTTCCATTTGGCAGTGCAACCTCTAGCTCACATGAAAAATGTATATTTTAATTTCCTTTTTTACGCTTGTCCTTTTATTTTTAGCTTTGGTTGTTTATTTTTTAGCATGAATATATTAACTATACCACTTTCTGTAGCTAACCGCTACAAAGTCCAGGGGGAAAGACGGTAAAACAAAACTAAATATTTTTGTTCAGAAAAAAACAAAAATGCATTTGCAGAATTCGTACACATTTCTGTACATGAAATTAAGTACTTTTAAGGACTTCAAAGGACAATTAAAGAAAAACATTAAGGGCGTATCAGCACATGGGAACTCAACAAATTCAATTAAATATATTATCTATGCCTGAACTACACCTTTGTAATAACTTCCTCAGAATAAAATAGATATATAAGTAGGATGCATTATTTATTAAACACAATTAGAAAACAGATTTGAGACTAAAATCATCTTCATCAAATTAGCAAGTAGCGTTAAATATTTTACACTTATAACAGTTGGACTTTGGAAGATTATTGACATTTTATTTATATTTTACTAATAATTAGCTCTATGCTGATTTTTTTCTTTCAGGTCTTATTTCCTCACGCACTTTCTTAGTCTAGAGGTTACGTAAATAGCAGGGAGATTAGACATCAAACGGCATAGGTTAAAATGAGAAGCAAAATCATAATCAATATGACTTTTTACAGAAGCCTGACTGTTGCCACGGCTGCTACTTGCCTAGAGAAAGACCTGCTGATCACAACAAACCTGAATGCCTGATGTAGGCATGGTTGGCAAGTTTTCAAATTTAGCTGTGCTCTGTCTGTCCAGCGCTTAAAGGGTCATTAGTAATGCAGTTAGCTTCGTGTAGAATCCTAGGGCTCTAACCGAGTTAATATATTTTAAGGTTCCAATAAGCGCTAAATCACCAGTGGTGAAAAGTTTTTTTTTTCGTATTATTTTAAGTCTGACTAGATATAATGAATAAGTGTTACATTAATTTACATTTTTGTGCTGTGTCTTGTGACCACAGTAAGTAAGACCTGATGAAAGCCAATAACTTGCTTTAACATGCAGACATAACTTTTAAGGGTGAGCAGTTCGTCACAAATAATTAAAGCAGGCAGTTAGGTAACCTTAGTCATTACAAATTGACATAGCCACTACTAAATTTTATTTATTTTTTAACAATATTTGTTAATACACAACAAAATGTTTATGCGTCTTTTCAGTTTGAAGCCTTCCCAGACATTGATGTTTTCTATTAACGGTATTCCCCATTAACAATGCACATTAGGCCTCAGGTGTATAACATTGTTTGTGTGATTTGAAGCTCAAATGCTCTCTACTTAGAATTATGTTTCACTCAAAAAATTTAGAACCAATGGAATACGGCACCAGCTGAATTCCAATCTTGATGAGTGAAATTTTTCATGTCTTAAAACACATACTAATAACATGCTGAACTAAGAAAATGATCCTGGGAAAAAATTTCTTTAATATCATAAATTATTAATTAACAAGTTTTCTTGCATTATGTAGTTTGGATATGTCTCGTATTTTTACTTCTATATTTACTGCACGTGCCCATTAAGCTTTATCATTTAAAAATAATTTTTGTTTTTCGGAGCATCATTAGAATCGAAATATTGGTTGAATAAAATCCTTTAAAAGCTCCTCCGTTTCATCTTTTGTTATCCTTCAAATTTTCTAAAAGACATGTATGCTTCACTTGACGGTACTTCATTAAATAAAATAAACATTTATACAATAAGCTAACTTTAATTAAACAACTGCCAATTTCTGCACTTTATTAATATATGCAGAAATCGTTCTGCATATATTAATAAAATGCATAAAAATGATCATGTTTTACAGTCAGGCTTATTATTACACATTATTGGTATTGCACGATTATTATTCAACTAAAATCTAATGATGTACAAAGTGAAAATGCCATGCATATTACTTTCCCAACAGCCACACTACCCTTCATACTCTCTAGAATTTTATTTAATGTTTGTGATTTATTCCTTAACTCAAGGAAACCACTAACCCACATTCATATTCATAAAATTTTCAAAATTACTCATGAAATCCACTGTTTCATCCTTGACATCAACAAATACGGGACTGTCAACATCATTTTAAAATTATCATTATGAAACTATCAATGCTAAAGGATAATCGATAATACTGGAGGCTATGCGGACAAAAATTATTGTGTTAAACTGCACATTGTTATCACTATTAATTTTCTAAATTGACAAATAAAAACCTTAAATTACTAAAATATGCACAATTACACTTTTCAAGCATTAAAACAGAACTGTCGATCTAAATTATAATGTAATAATTCAATCAAATTACTTCAGTTTTCTAGTAATATAAGCACTTACCTCTGCTCATCCATTGTTTTGAACTCGACAAACTGCAGCCTCTGGAGGACATGAATCTTTTGGAAGTTTCTGTAATGAGTTACACATGCTTATGTAATACGATGCATTATCATTCAAAACACTAGACACTGCCAGACGATATGTATCCGCTATGCTTGAGAGATCGTAATATGGGCTTACTATCCCTACACCACAATATAACTGTGTTTGACAAGCAAATTTAGTCTTCCAAATAAAAAAATAAGTACAGTCATGGGATTTATATAAAAATCTTGGCTCACCTAATCCATGTCCACAACGAAATTCTATCAAAGTGTTACGAGTAAAATTACCATTATGGCATGGATCGCCATCACTGTAATTCAAAAATATAATTCCGTTATTGTATATCAAGTGACTGTTCAGCTTTCCACCACTCCAGTGTCGCTTCATGCCACTTAATTCTTCTTCACACATGCCTGAATCAGCACCACATGGACTAGAATCATTATTACCACACACACTGAGGTAATATTGATGATTATCTTTTTCATACCTGAATAATCCACGGTTTCTTAAAGGTGAGAGGTTAAAAAAATACCCAGTTAAAGGGTCTTCAACTGTGCAATTAACAGAGGCCTTCAGTGATTCACTTTCACATGCATATACAGTATGCCAATCAAAATAATATATACATCCCTCTCTTCCTAAAAATTCTGGTTTGCTGTCAATGCTGCTATGATCACAAATAAATTCAATAACTGTCTGCATGAATTTTACCGTTTCTGTTCCTCCTGCATCACATGGATCTCCAGAAGTATAGTTTAATCTTATCTTACCATTATCTATATACGGTCCTTGACTAACTCTACCAAGATTTACACGTTCATCAACAGGATGGTTTGAAATATCAACTAAACATGAAGCCGAAGCATAAGGACAAACAGAATGTGGTGTGTGCACCACATTACTGCATACATTAATCACAAATTGCTTTTCATATATAGGATGTTTAACATAATAATTGCCATTACGTAGAGATAATTTGCTTAAATCATAATATGCACCGTGCTCATCTATAACAGAACACTGTATAATATCAAATGGAGGGCATGCATGTACAGTAGGCCACTCAAATAAGAATGTACAATCTTTAGTTTCTGATACAAAATATGGCCCAACTTCTTCAGGGCCAAGATGACAAGTAAAAGTAATTTGCGTTGAATAACTGCATTTTTCATTGCAGTAGTCCGTGTCTGAGGTATATTTAAGCATAATTGTTCCATTTCGATAAAGAAGTTGATCATTTGGCAGACCCAGGCTTTTTGAAAATGAAGGATCCTTAGACTTCGTTTGACAAGCACTTGAATTAATACACGCATTTTGTAAGCCATTCAATTTATCACAAACATTAAAATAGAACTTATATTCACCTACCATTACAATATAATTATTATTACTCTTCAGAGGATTTAAATCGAAAATGTAACCAAAGAAAGGTTCTCTTACTGTGCAAGCACTGCCAACACTGCTTTGAATAGGACATGCGACAGGAGTAGCTAATGAGAAAATATATTCACATTCTGGTGTTTCCCCTATAAACTTTAGATCTTCTCTTTCTCCAGAACAGAACAAATTTACGATTGTGCTACGCCTGAACTGACCATTATGACAGTAAGAACCATGTGTATAATGAAGAACTATGATACCTTTACTATTAACAAAAGGCTCATTTAACTGAGAGCCGAGATCATGGCCTATACTTTCGTTTTGCAAAGCATTAGTTACACAAGCTCCTGAAGAGCCAGCAGGACATATACGTATAAGCAGATACCTTGTTCAATGGTCGACAGAAATTTATATGGTACCTTAAATGTGAATAGCTTGGTCTATTGTCGGTAGCCTCCCAATTTATCTTCCTGAATTTTGCAAGAGGATTTAAATCATATTCATTACCATATTCATCAATCACATTGCAGTCAAAATGTGAAGGGATACAAGTAAGAGATGTCTTCATCTCGAAAATTAATTGGTCATTCCTGTAATCGTTGCTTATTAATTTCGGATTTAGATCTGCTGTTGTTTTATTACATGGAAATTTTATTATTACTTCCCTGTCGTAAACTCCATCAGGTTGGTAAGAGATTGACAAATCACTTCCAGTCGAATAGCTAAGGAAATATGAATTTGACACAGCTATGTTATGTATTAATTTACCTTTTGAATCAGTTCGACACACACTGACACGTTTAGATTGTTGTTTCCCACCAGAGGATAAACACCCAGATACCACTCTACCACATATATTAAGCTGGTAAGTAGTGTTAAAGTCTACCTTTACTGTGTACGGTTCATTGGCTTTCCAAAGAGGAGTCAAATCAAAAGTAAAACCAGAATCAGGATCAGTAAGCTGGCAACTTTCAAAAGATTGCACAATGCCAGTCGGGCAAGCAGCTTTAGTTGACCACAAAAAAAAAAAAACATATTCACATGCATCAACTTTATTTAAATACTGTAGATAATTGTTCCCAATTTCATCTTCTGCACAGACAAAATGTATTGTTGTCGAATAAGTGACGTTTTTACCATATGCAGTGCAAATATTTCCATTAGTATACTTAAGAATAAGATGACCAGGACCCTCTAAAACTAGAAGAGTACTTGACTGTCCTAAATTAGATATAACAGCCTTCTCATTCTCACCAACGTTTTCAACCATACATGCAGCAGCTTTTGAGTCACAAAGTAACGGCTCAGCCAGAGGTCGGCAAACACTCAAATAGATCCCCATTTCTTTATTATCTTTATTTGCAACTGGTACCCGACTGTTCTCATATGCAGATAATAATGACAGGTCGTAAATTAAATGAGAAAATGAATCTTGTACCATGCACTCAATCGGAGAGTTGGAGCAAACTACATTAGTATGCCAGTGAAAAATGTAAGATCCATCATGTTTTACAAATTGAGGACCTCCATTTCCAGCACTGAAATCACAAATGAATACTATTTTAGCATGCTTGTTAAACGGATGACATAAATAAAAACTGGAGGAAATAATCCCATTGCGGTACTCTAAATCAGAAATTTCAATCTTCCATGACGAAAAATTAATTTTCTTTTCCTGGAAATTACCTATACTTTCAGCTGACATTGGAGTTATTACGCATGTTGGTTTATAGGTTTCACAAATACTAATGTAGAATCTGTAGGATTCAAAATCCACTTCATATACTTTATGTTTAAGAGGTGTCAAATCATAATTAATGCCTAAATTATCAGCCTCTACTTTACAGTTAGCACCCTCAACTTCTAAAGTGCCTTTTGGGCATGCTTCAGAAGTGTACCATTTAAATTTGTACTGGCATTCTGACTCATCTATATAAACCAATATTGGCTTAGAATTAATGTGTCCGGGGCGGCAGAAAAAGTCAATAGTTGATTTCCATCGCTTTCCGCCCTTACAAAGGCTTCCACCAATATAAGTCAACCTAGTGGAATCTGAATTTATATCATAAATGGGTGGCATAGTAAAGTTTCCTATATTCAGATATTTACCATTACTGCCCAAAACACACGCAGAAGAACCTGGACCACAACTACTTAAATTACCTAAATATGACACCTGGCCACATACATTCACATAATACTTAGCATTATGTTCACGGACTAAATTTCTTTGATCGGTGGCTTCCCAAGCTTCTCCTTTCCTTAAAAATAATCCTTTTAGATTAATTTCTTTGTTTTTAAAATAAATAGAGCAGTAGTCCCTCCATTTCAAAACCGTAGATTCAAACGAAGGCTTCGCACATGCATGTTTTGTTCTCCATTCAAATGTATAAATGCAAGACTCTGAAGATATAAAAATAGGCTGCCCATCCCCATTATTACTAGCTTTAGAATCACAAAGAAACTTTATTACAGTTGACTGATTTCTAACATTATCGCATGATTCTTGGCCAGGATAAGTTAGTCACTATACCATGTGCATATATAAGATGCGATCCTTCCGTGGTACCTATTATCGCAGAGGAATTTGTTTTTTTAATTCCACAAACAGAAGTTGATTTCCTATTTTTACCGCTGCAAATAAAATTTTTAAGTCCACCACAAACACTTATAGCAAATGTGGAATACCCAGAGAATATACTGGAAATATTAAAAAAAGGTTTCCTTTTCAAAGGCCTTAAATCTATTTCAACTCCATGAGATTCTGTTGTAAACTGACAAGTTTCCAAACTTCCTTTTAAGTTTTGAGGACAGGCATATTCAGTATACCACTCTACTTTATACTGACAGTTATAGTTAGATATCAATGCTGGCCGACTGCTATGATGTCTTGGAGGACATTTAAATACAATAGTTGTCTTAGGTCTGAGACTACATCCCTTAGGTAGCTGTGAATATATTTCATCTGTTAAATAAGACAAAATTAATCCTTCTTGGGTGTATTGAAGGCGCCCGTGAGGTTTTCCAAATGATAAAGAATTATTCCAATCAACTCTGCATGCTGACGAGTTTGAGCCACAGCCTTCATCACCAGATATCTCAGAACAAACATTGACTGTAAAATCAAAATTTTCCAGATATCCTACTACAACAGAATAGCCTCCTTTCTTCAAAATGAGATGAGACAAATCTCGCACATTACCTTCATGATCAATGACATAGCAAGGAACTTGATGGGATTTGGGCTTGTTGATGCAAGCAACTGAAGTTTTCCAGTAAAATTTCACCTTACAATGACTCCGTAGTACAAAATGAGGTGTTCCAAGATTTGGACCACATTCAAACTCTATTTCAGCTTCTCGAATTCGACCCCACTTTGAATCACACAAATCATCTGTGGTAACATATAGAGTAAAATCACTGTCATCATTGTCCAAAATGACATAATGATAGCGTGGGTCAATGGGGTTTGCAAAACTAAGTGCTTTTCCCCCTGAAATTTCACAAATAGAACTCTGTGGACAACCTTCGCTAAGAGAAGCTGAAGTATAATTGAAAGGATTACATATACTAATTTCATAGTACGTGGAAGTTCCATTTATCTTTGGTCCAGATACTGGCCAACCACCTGGCCTAGAAAGGAAATAAAAATTACTGATAATTATTTATTACTTCATACAAAAGATAAAAGTTTTGAAACAATACATATAAATATTTTTGGCTCTGAGGGAAGCACCATTATAAACTAACATGCCTTTTAGACAGTCACACTGATACAAATTGATGCACTGAAAATAAACCAAAGATTAATTTAATTTCTGTTTTTTAAAATAATGCAAAATGTGTTTTGATTTAGGCATAATTTCCTTTTAATAATGGCTGTTTAAATTATGGAACTAATGAATTTTAATATATAATTTGCAATCCAATATTAATTTATCAACTTATAGCATCGAAACTTTCAGTAGAAAATCTTAATAAAATGTTTATTAAAAAATTATTACTTTTATTTTAACAGATATGAGATTATATATATATATATATATATATATATATATGACTTTTACAGTCAAGAACATAAAAAATGCAGAAATTTCATAATTAAAAGGTTTCTTTAATATTATTAGTAGCTAAAGTAAATAAATTTCTAAGAAAACGTTATTTAGAATGATACACAGAATAATTAGCAGTGTAGTTTGCATAAGGCTTCGAAATATCTTTTTGTCAAAATAAATGTTTATTGAAAAAAATCTCCAGAATTTCTTTGAGTCATACATAAAAATTCATCTTCATAATGCAAAACAATATAATAATCTGAACTTAAAAGTCTACTTAAACAGTAAACGTAAACCCAAGAAATACCTTAAATTCGCAAAGGACTTGTATATTTTTTATTTAAATTATGCTTCTCATATTTAATTTAGAAAAAAAAAATTATTATGCTTTTACTCAAGAACTGTGTGAACTATTTAATGCTTATCATGTAAAGTTCCCAAGAAAAATGATTATACCTAAAAGTGATGCTCCTGCTAATAATTGCTCTACCTGGAAGTAAGTAATTTCTTCACAGAAATCTCAACAGATGGCGACACATAGGTCGCATGCAGTTCTGTTTAGTTACGATGGGTGCCGAAGGATGACGCTGCTGAAACTATGAAATGACACAAGCTTCTAGACCCAAAGAATCACTTTTGATCATAACCGGTTTTTCCCCTTATGTGGGAAAAGGGATTTTGAATATAGGGAATTTTAATCTATAGGGTTGTTTGTATTTCGTGTGTGTCCCATCGATGACATGAAGGTTACCAATACCATCTGCTGACATGCATGACCAAATCATAACACTAACTGGGTTCTTCACAGTTGCTTGAATGCAGTCAGGATGTAGCTCTTCTCCTATTCTACGTCTTACATATTTTCGCCCATCACTACCGAATAACGATATTTTAGTTTCATCACTCCATATAACTTGTGACCACTGATCATCTGTCCAATTAATGCGTTCCTTTGTCCACTGTAGTCTTTCTTTTTCGTTGCTGAAAATTAAAATAAGGCCTTTTTCGTGGAATTCTACCTCTCAGTCCAACACTGTTAATCTTCTCCTCATTGTTCTTGAACTGACAGAAACACCAGCATCATTCAGATCACTTCTGATGGCCGCTGATGACATTTTTCTATCTTGGAGACATAGTCGTTTTATTCTTCTGTCATCAATAGATGTGGTGCACCTTTTTCGGCCTTTTCCTTCTTTGTTTTTTATTGAATTTGTCTCCTGATATAGTAAACAAAACTTTCGGACTCCAGATGTAGTCACTGAACCACCCACCTGTCTTGCAATTTCAGCATAGGAAAGACCAATTTCTCGTCACACAATAATATTACATCTCTTACTAAGTGTCCAATCCACTCTTTTATTTGATGTCATTGCTTCTTGACTAAAAATGGTTCTCAGAACAAGAACAGTGATTGGCCAGGAAAGCTAGACATTACAAACCACTTTATAACTGTGTTTTTTTTTTTATTTTTATTAAAGTACATATAACTTTTTTTGTATTGCAAATAATTGAATTTTGTGTTTTGTATTGAATTCAGTAATAAATTCTCTTTAAAATGATATAGACAAGTTTGCATTTTGCGAAACGTAACATTTTCTATAAGCATACAAAGTTCAAAAACATAAAAATTTCCAAAAGTGTCCACAATTTTGGCCACCACTGTATACATATCTTGCATATAATCTCACAAATAGTGTTATCTTTGATACAATACAGGTGTGTAATATTCAGGCAATATAAGATGTCATAGATATAATACGATACAATTCTGTGATTAGGTTAACATAAAAAGATACGAGGAAATTGCCTCCTCGAAAAGATTTTTTTAAAAAAATTCTTAATGCTGTACATATAGCAAGATATAAAAATACACAAGACAAAACAGTGTCACAATAAATAAATAAATAAATAAAAAATTTTGATTGCTATGCAAAATACTGAGTACAAATTCAAATAATTTAATGTGTGAAAGTACATGTCTGACTTAAATGCTGTATGCAGATATACTAAATTAGTATTATATAGACACAAAATTTATCTCACAAATGAAATACTGGATGAGTAGACTATTACATGATAGGTGTGTTTAACCCTATGCATATCTTAAAAACATACAGAAGGAGTACTCGGTTGTAGAGCTTGTTGCACAAACATATAATAGCAGCAAACTAAGATTCACATAGCTATACATAATACAAACATATACTCAAGAATAATTTAGTATGCAGTAAAACACGTATGACAGAGAACACTTGTCAAAGTTAACACTGTGTGAGATGCATAATATGTCCAATACATTCTAGAATGCATATCAGTAACTATACATTAATTGACTACATCATTACACCACAGGTGTGCTTAAACACTTCTGTATGACCTTAATTTGTATAAAGCAGTTGCTACGCTTGAATTCTGAGAAATATGTACCAATATTGTGATACTTTTAAATTACGGATATATTGGAATATTTGATGACTGATGCTAGAACTACATTTGAATATAATGATGCAAGATTAAAGTTTTAGGCAGTGCATTATTTGATGTATACATTTAAGAGTATATTGGTGCATATTGATAATTAAATAGTTGACATAGAGTACATGATACAGTAGAACCTTCAGAATATGGTTGGGTTTCAGTTGTGCGCTTATGAAGTTTGGCACAAGTCCAAGCCTAATGTGCATAGTTTATCCATAATATTTACAATTTGACGGATCAGATGTCGCTGTTTAATTAAAAATTTGCAAAATGCGTAACGATTAGCCTCTGAGAGACGAATGTGTGAACCAGCAGTGAGTGGGCATGTTGAGAGGTAATGTTCTGGCGTACCCACATCTCCGCAACTACAGAGCTCAGTATTACATAAGCGAAATCGTGCATAGTATTATGGAAAAGGCCCATGTCCTGTAATGTACCTAACGAGATTGGGATTGTTAATATTTCGAGTTGTATCAACATACGCGAGATGGTATTGCGTACGGCGGCCCGTTCGTCTCATTCTTCCTGAAATTGACCTATGGACTTAAGTCGAAGAGATCTTTTAAGGTGGGAAATGGGCCATGGGATATTAATTTGTTCGTAAGCCTGTCCATTGGCAGCTTCCTTAGCCAATCTGTCAGCAAGCTCATTGCCATAATGACCGACATGGGCCTTTATCCATTCCAGCGAGATATGAATTTCCGGATGGTCTCGTAGATCTTGTTGTATCTGCTGGATAATTGGGTAGTAGTGTTCCGGGTTGTTGATAGCATATAAAGAAGACTGGCTGTCTGTTTTTATCACTGCAGGTGTAATCTGCTGTTCCTGCAGGTAAGATATTGCATGCGCAATTGCCACTGCCTCTCCCTGAAATACACTATTAGTGCGTAGCTGACCTTTCCATTGATAAATATTCGATTGGTCCTGTAGAACTATAAACGCACTGCCTGTGTTGTTATCAGTTTTTGATCCATCAGTATAGATCTCTGTATGTACATGTGAATCAGTAGATGTTGGGTTTAATCGTATTCTCACACCGACGCCCTTCTGCGAGGGGTGGATGTGTAAGTGGGGGGCCTGTGCTTCATACTCTTCAGGAAGGAAGATGTCTTCTGCAAACGTTGCAGTCCTACGTAATTGTTTGACGAGTTGCCGGGAAGCTTCCTCTTCTACACGAATATGCAAGGGGAGTAGTCCGGCTAAAACAATGATTTCGTCTGAGGCCGTTGTGCAATATGCACGAGTAATGTTAAGAGTAAATGGCCTTTCGATGGAAGACAGGTGTTTGATCTTTTGCCCCTGCATGGGGTTGGCCCATACTGCAGCAGCATATGAGACCATTTTTTCGGTGACTGTCGTGTAAAGAAGCTTTTGAATATGAGGGTTGAGACCCCATTTGTATCCTTGTAAATATTTCATTTGTTTGGCAATAACAGCCGTACGTTTTTTAAGATCTAAAATGTGAGGAATCCAAGTCAGTTTTTCGTCAAAGATTAGGCCCAAGTATTTGAGCTCTTTGACGATCTGAATTCGCTGTTGGTTTATTACGATTCGTGATCGTCTTGCCAATGACCCTCTTTTTTTTTTTTTTTTTTTTTTTTTTTTTAATCAGGAGAACTCTTGATTTCTCATCTGGAATTGATAATTTTAAAGAAGAACAAAGAACATAAAACTGAGCACAAACTTTATTGCAATTTGCTTCAAGGTTTTCACGCGTATGTCCTCTGACAAGTAGAGCTGCATCATCAGCGCATGTGAAGATTTTGGTATGCTGAGGCCATGCGGCAGTGAGGACGCTGTTAAATGTTACATTCCACAGATGGGGCTCCGCGGCCAACCCCTTGTCTGTTGACGCTCCACAATGCCGTTATTGTGTATTGCTATTAAGTGTCGGTCGGAAAGATAGGTAAAGGTAAAGGTAAAGGTAAAAGTATGGGGACACCAGCGATGTACCATAGGTCAACTGGTAATGCCTTCCCATACTAACTCTTTGAAAAAAAAAAGGTGCTAATTGCAAGTTTTATAAGAATATGCATAGACTGAAGCTTTCCAAAAGGTCTAGAGTTTGCCTATTATGGTACATCGTGCATTTCCACAGTACGCCCCGCATCCAGTATTTATTAAAAATAATCGTGTAGGGCATAAGTAGATTACAAAATAGTCGGAATACAATTTGAGATTCACAAGATAAATTGAACATCTGATTTGGTGCAACAAAAATAGGAAATAAACATAATTAATAAACAAATAAACATAATGAGATAATTGTAATTAGTACTGGCAACACAATGTTAAAATGAATTGTTATAATAATGTTAAAGAGGTGTGTGTCCATGGGTTATTTCAGATATATTGGTTTATTGCCGTTTGTAAAGTTCACGAGCGGAGCTATTTTGTCCATAATCACAGCATGTAAAAGTTCACTAAGTTTAAACTGTATGTGGACTTACACTTGACAGAAATCTAGGCCGTAGGAAGAGAGTCGTTGCATAGTTTCTGAAACTTTATTATTTATTTGATATTAATGTTTATCTTTAATTAAAAACCTTTGGAATGCCAGGAGGTCAGTTCTTGGGGATTTTATGTGAATATCCTCAGTTAAGGGGCATGAGAAAGTGTAATGATCAGGAGTTCCCTGTTCCCCACATATACAGATATCAGAATTTGCCAAATTTCTTGCGTAGAAATATGTGGGGAAGGGTCCATGTCCTGTTATAAAGTAATTTAGTGAAGGATTCGAGTTCAGAGATGCGAAGCTTACATTGGGGATCAAGTTATATGTGCGTCTTCCCTGTGAAGCATTGTTCCACAATCTTGCCAAGATTTTGAAGCAAGTTGTTTTAATTGGTACTTGAAATTTGAGCGAGGCCACGGAATGATGATTTCAGTACCATCTTGATTAATAGCTGCTTCTTTGGCTAGTTCATCTGCCTGATCATTACCAAAATGGCCACTATGTCCTTTGATCCATGAAATTTGAAATTTGTAGTTTGGAATTTTGCCAAGAAGAGAATTTATGTCGGATATCAATGGAGAGGAAGGTAAGGGATTTTTAATAGCTAGAATAGCTGCTTGGGAGTCAGATTTTATGCTAAATTCGTTGAGATTTTTGAGAATGGCTATTTCAATCGCTGCTTTTATAGCTGACAATTCCGCTTGGAAAACACTATTATTATTATGAAGATGGCCTTTCCATTTGATGATATTTGAGGGGGTAATTTGAAAAAAGACTGCGGAACGAACTTTTCCTTCAATTTTTGATCCATCAGTATAAGCAATTGGAGATGAACTTGAATTTTCTTCAGACGTGGGGAATATTATTTTGCTGAAGCGAAGCGCTGGATGGATAAGATTGGGGTTAATTTTCTTTTCATAGTTGGATGGCCAAAAGGTTTGGTTGTTGAATTCTGCGGCTTGGTTAAGTTGAAGGACTTTCATATAGGTGCACTCCATTTCTGCACTGATTGATAACGGAAGAGTACCAGCTAAAGTATCAAGTGCTATATTTGAAGTTGTGATACGCCCGAGTAATGCAGAGAGTAAAAGGCCTTTGAATTGAATTTAAACATTTGATCTTTCTCACTGTCATTGGTTGTGCCCAAATTCCGGCTCCGTAATTCACCATTTTGAGATGACTGTTTTTAGAAGAATACGTGTTATATGGGGATTTAAGCCCCAGTTATATCCATCCATACGTCGTAGGCAGTTAGCTATTGATGTTGTACGAAGTTTAATATTTTGTAGATGAGGAATCCAGGAGAATTTCTTGTCGATTGTTAAACCGAGGTACTTGATTGTATTCACAGATTTGATCTTTTGATTGTCAATTTTTAGAGGTCGGAAAGATAGTAGCTTAGTGTTCTGTATAAATTTTGAGGGCAGTTAGGGTCCCTAAGTGCTTTCTTGATGGCTGGCCACCATAGATTATCGAACGCGCTTTTCAAATCAATGCTCACAAGAGCTGTATGGTAACCATTGTTTTTGTTTTCTAAGATGGCTTCCTTGATGTCAAATAATGCATGGATGGTTGACAGGCCGGGGCGAAATCCATACTGACGAGGACTAAGGACATTGTTGCAGTGAAGATGAGAACGGAGCCTATTCACCAGTAATTTTTCAAACACCTTGCCCATAGACGAAAGCAGGCAAATAGGTCGAAAGGAACTAGGATCTGAGGGATTTCGATCCTTTTTAAGAAAGAGCACCACTTGGCCAATCTTGAAGATTTCCAGGAATGTCCCGTAAAAAGAAGCTTAAGTAATTGACAGTAAGGTAATTGTAAAAAGGTTTGATAAGATAATAAAGTAATTGACAAAAAGTTCTGGAGCCGATCTTATTAAAAATTTGACAATGGTGTAATCCACGCCATCAGGTCCCTGGGCTTTCTTTCGCGGGAGATGTGTAAGTACTTGTAGAAGCTTTTTACGCGTGAAATTCAAGTTCGGAGGAGCTGTTAATAGCGTTGGATCATTTCTCACAGAGTGATGGTATTCTGATCATCTGAAGAGATGTCAGGACAGAGAACTGTATCTAGGTCCTGCTGAGTCTTCGCAGTAAAGTCGGTGTGTGTCTGGATGGAAGTTGAGACGTGAAATTGGGCTGGTTTAAATAGTTTCCCAGTCACAATCTTGTGCTGAATACCATAAACGTCCTTAGTGTCCGTACAGAAGCGTTTCCATGAGTTAATTTTCGCCTCTATAATCATTCTTCTTGTATAAGACTCGTTCTCTTTTATAACGTTCTAACGTATCTGTTTGCAAATTGAGTCTGCGTGCCTGTTTTAACTTCCGACGAAGTGCTCTGCATTTGTGTTGTTGTGTACGGAAGGATCCATTCCACCAATTAACTCCACACAAGCGTTTGGCATTGCGTATTGGAAGGTAGTCATTGCAGGCTTGGTGTATGGTAGTTTGTAGAGAAGTCGAGAAATCCTCGAGATCCTCCTGGGTCTGTGCTTGCAAAAGTTGTTGTGCTTTTTCCTGTAGGAGGGTTCGTATTTTTCTAGCGAAAGGGGCTATTTTATGACCTGGAAGATTGTAACGCTTAATGATAGGAATTGAAGTAATCTTGTCTATATTGAATGTTATAAATTTATGATCCGAGAGACTTATAGTGTCCTCCACTTTCCAAATCTTGTATTAATTCCGCTGCTTGTGTTGCTGTAATTGTAAGATCAGGCCATCCATGGGCATAGTTGGTGTCAAATGAAGGAGGTGCATCGGAAGTGTTCTGAATAATTAAGTTATGTGAAGAAATAAAATCTTCAAGCTGTCGACCTTTATCATCCGTTGTTGAATATCCCCACGTGGTACTATGAGCATTGTAATCCCCTGCAAAAATCATGTTTGAAATGCGGAAGTGTTATAACGTGTTACTCATGAACTCTGTTATAATACTATGGTCTTCTCTAAGAGAAGAATATTGGGAAACCGTGATCATGGTTAGATTTTGAACGTCGAGAAGTATTGCAACATTGTGCCGCGTTAGAGAAATGATAGAGGGAGCAAAGTCTGCTTTACAACAGATTATAATAGCACGTGGGGGATTGTCCTTATCAACTTTCTGAAAAATTTTCCATGGCAGCGGGAAGCCAATAGCGACTCCATTCCTGACGTACGGTTCCTGTGCAAATATCATATCCTACATGTACTCTATTGCATACTGAGTTGCTTGAGCAGTGGCAGCCTTAGCGTGTTGTAAATTAATTTGTATGCATTTAATTGGCTGCGTTGAGATTCTTTGTGAAGAATTAATAGGAGATGTAGGACTTATTTCAGTGACATTATGCGTGGGAGTAGATTGTAGTGGAAGCATATTAATATTCTGTGTTACATCGGACGTTGTCAGCTGCTCACTGGTAGACTAGGGCAGTCCGGGTGATACGCCGGGTGTTGGGAGTTGTAGCGAGTGCCGAAGTGGTTGTTGGTTTCTTCACAATTGATGCAGGCTGGTGTTTCTGCATCGCATTTGCTAACTCTATGGGATCCAGAGCAGAAGGCACAGAACATCGTTTTACTTCTACAACCTGGGAGTGTCCAAATTCTTGGCAATGATAACATCGTATTCCCAGGAACTCCGTGATATTATGTGCCTGCCAAGCTGTGAAGATCCTTCTGACTCTGAGTGCGGCCGCAAAGCTGGTTGAGATGCATTCCAAAATCCATTTGACCCTATTAGAGCGTCGTTCTTTAAGTCTAAACAGTGGCTTATAGGAGTTGGATGAAATTCCTGCCGTGGCGCTAAGCTCTGTAATGAGCTCCTCCTGTTTGATTCGTTCTGGGATGTAATGTATTGCACATCTTGGACGTCGCTTTTGCCGTTGTTTGACCTCTGCATGCACTGCGGCCTTCTGCATATGTTCTTGGAGTTGATTGACATCTTCTTTGGCAACCTGACCTCTATTCACCACCACTGAAATT